GGAGAAGAAAATGCCATTGCCATCGAAACTTTTCTCAAGACAGTTCCCTTCAGTGATACATTAATATAACCCCAGAAATGTAATGCATTTTTGTACTTATTTTACTGTTATTTTCGGGATCTACTGGGACAGTGATAAAGATCGACGGGTTGGCGAGCACTGCTCTACAGTCTACTGGTAACGACGGAACTTGCGACCATAGTTGCTTTTGGGAAACACACCCCTGATTGAAAGAAACCGGGCACATGTCAAGTTATCATTGACATTTAGCTTTTCTGTGCGAAACAAGGCATTGCACTGCGTGGTCACAAGGAAGACACAGAAAGCCTGAACAGAGGAAAGTTTTTTGAGTTGTTTAAAGTGCATTGTTAATATGGCCCGAGATAAACCAAAGCCTTGATGAGCTTCCAGCTAATGCAAAAGTGACATTCAAAATGACCTCCTTGAAACTGCAGCATCACTTCTCCGACGAAGAATCAGAGCAGAATTGCATGCTGAATGCACAGGCTACTAGGGATGGGTCACGGTTTTCAAATATTCAATTAGTTGATTTAAAGACATGGTGTGGCGCAGCACTATGCTTCTCGTCTGGTATGTGACCACATTAAGGCTGGAATAGCCACTTATTTCAAAGGTGAAATTGTCAAAGATGACTTTTAGGATTAGACCCTGTAAGATACGCTGGTAGTCTGTTTTCCCCCCTGACGAGGGCAGGGGAGGGCCAAGGTTCAAAAGTCATGGTTTGCTACTGGTATGTATGTATGCATGCATGCATACATGTATGCAAGAGCTCCTAAAAAACCACAACAAATTCACACACTTAGCGAATAAAGCTCATTCTGATACTGATTATTTAATAGACATTTAAAGTAATAGGCTGCATTTACACTGGCACAAAAATCTAATTTTTTGTTCACGTCTGACACAGATCGGAATTTGTTGCACAAGTGTAAACACAAAGATTTTTTTGCATCCGATCTGAGCCACTTCCAAATGTGTATTTTAATCGGATACATATCCTATATCTGGACATATGACCTACGTCTAAACACACATATCCGATTCCCCGCAGAACTCCCAATGTGAGGGTGACACGTTTGCCCATAAAGACAGCGTTTTAATGCCGGTGTGGTGTATGCGCTCGCATTTTACTGATATGCAAACTAACTGCTTTTAATATTATGTATATTTCTTTTTTTAAAGACCTATTTGACTTTGTCGGCTCAGATGACATGGCAACAGAGGTGT